TAAAAAAGCTACCGGTCATCAAACAACACCCATACATAACCAAGGACCTGGACCTATCCTCCGTGCAAATCGGTGAATACCTGGCCACCAAGTGCAGCTGTGGTTGGACATGCGATCCACGGATGACGATAAACTGCACGGTAGCGACGCGCGCATAGACAATGGCAGCGAAGGGATTACTATCCAGATTACCAAGAAGGCTCAACCGGCTGGCAAGTTGAAATTATATCTATGCGTGATTATGGACGCGCAACTTAATATAGACAATGGGAGATTCGTGCAAGCCATCTACTGATTTGCCCCACGACCCACACTGTGCCATAGTGTGCGGGCAGACTGGCTGTGGGAAGACCGTTTTCGTGTTGGATATGTTGGAGGGTACTACAGGGATGTGTTCGACCACATCGTTATCATGTGCCCTACTCTGAGCATGAATAAAAGCATTACACGGAAAGACCTTGGGTGATGACGGACCCGGATGTACACAGAGTCGACCGGGACCACGTCTGCAGGACTGGTTGAAAGCTTACCATATGAAATTTAAAGGGGAGTCGACGTTGTTCATACTGGATGACTGCAGCTAATCGTGAGATAACAAAAGAGAGACGTGCTATCGTACCTGGCCTTCTCTGGTCGACACGCCAAATCACAGCGTCTGGGTTACTGACGCAGAAGTTCAACTTCGGTGTTGAAAGACCAAAGGAGCAGACGCGATGGGTGGCCTTATTTCACTGCAAGGACAGGGATTCGTTCGAGGAGTGTTTGAGAGAGAACGATGTGATGAGTAAATTAGAACGGGAACGGGTGAAGAAACAGCTCGCTGAAACTAAACACGCTAAGCTCGTGCTCAAGACCGACCAACCAGTAGCCTATAGGGTGTTTTAGCTTAGCAATGCTTAGTAAATGCTTAGCAAAGCTAAGCAAAGCTTAGCAATGCTTAGTATAAATACTTAGCATTTAGTTATAGCTATGGTATTTGAAGTGTTCGTCGTGTGCAACTTAACCTTCATTTCCCTGTGTTTTGCCTGCATCGGGTATTATATTATTAAAACTAAAACTTACTTGTTACATTATAAGATGGAGTGTGATGAACTGCTCGAACAATTGTTGGTACCCCAATCACCACAGGTGGACGATGATAAGCGAGAGAAACTGGTGGCGTTGGCTGTTGGTGGCAAAGCCAAACATTACTTTGGGGAGTACACTCCAGATAAAATTCACAAAATGTCAGCAGAAGAAATTGATAAACTGTACGCTAGATACGAGTCTAGACTAGGTGCAGAAATGACAAAGACAATAGGATCGGCTATGACCCAGATATACACTGGTATTGCGTCGTACTTCCTTCCCATCCTCGAGCCGGCTTTACCTGTGGGAAGACCTCGAGAAAGACCCTTTATCGAACACTTTGAGCTCTATTAGCCGCGAGCTGTACCACAAATACGGTATGTTGTTAGCCCCGGTGACGGCGGCGATTATTACGGCAAAGCATTGTCAATTTGAGAGGAAAAATAATAATAATAGCATAGATGGATGCTGCACAGGAGACCCCCAAGGAGGAGACCCCCAGGGAGGAGACCCCACCCCAACTGGAGGTGACCCTCCCACAGTCACCAGGCAGAAGAATCCTAAGAGAGTAGCTGCCGGTAAAAAACGGTGGTGTAACCAACATAAAATTATCAGGGTGACTCACCCGGAGCGACTCTTGTTAGTTGTATGCGCAACTGCTGCCGTGGCTATCTCGTGGTTATATACACGACACAGGGATCCCAGGGAGGGAAACTCTCACCCACAATTAGAGGTCAACCCACATATCATGTTATAATTTAATATTTTTATATCATATACATAATGTCTGAGGGGAAAACGTTCGTCAACGACGCATACCACGCCACAGTGGTCGCCAGTCTAGCCGTAGGGTACGCTCGGTTGACTAAAATGGTGCTTAAACAACCGACTATCAAGCTAGATTTCAACCTGCAGGATATGGGTATGCTCATAATGAACCTTGGTATGGCGATGGCTACAAAAGACATCCTAGTAAAACAAGGGATACTACCTGAAAATATTATGAGGTAAATATAGGATGGCTACGATTGCCATGATGGTTGGTGGGGCGTTAGTGAATGCCCTGGCATTTTCCGGGAGTAATTTCCTCTTCTCGAAACTACGAGAGTCACACGCCGCTGAAATACAGGAAGAGAGGAAGCGGCACGATCTCGCTATTGAGAAATTACAAACAGCACAGACCGAGTACGCTAAAAAAACGCCTCCAGAGGATCGATTACATTAACGAACAACTCAGGCGTGAAAACCATGCCGTTCAAACATTCCACGATGTCGACGATGCAGCGAAAGAATACTACTTATTAACTGGTAAACAATTGGAACCACTGAATAAACCCACACTCGCTCAGTACTACACACCATCCAAGGGGCAAATGGACCGTGAACTGGTATTCATAGCGCTGGGTATTGCAGCGACTGCGTTGGTTGCGAAATAATTAGACTAAATACTCATATAAGTATGCTAAACATGAGACCTGCTCCATACCGATGCGAATACATACTTATGGGGAAGAAAGAAGCCTGTGATAGGAGATGCAGGACTCAGGGGTACTGTTGTTTCCACATGGGAAGCCCGAACTACACGTGTTCTGTGTGTGGCATAGGGGTCAAAGGGCACTACTGTTTATGTAAAGCTCACGGAGCGAACGTAGTCAGACATCACCTCATCTACGAGAATAAAAAGGCCTACATAAAAGAACGTTAGGCGGCTTCTCAAGATAACAGTGTAGTGAGTACTGGATTGAAACAACCTCACTATATTTTTTATGAGTTACCTCCCTTTACTGTGGTCCAATTAGACATTAATTCTCTTGGGTGTGTACGCAATTATGACTACTATATGCGAGCTTAAGCAAATCGCCAGACAGAGGTGTGATAGGGTATTCTAGAATGCGAAAGCCAGCATTGTTGAGATTACTTAACATACAAGCCCCTCTCACGGTAAAACAATTAAAAGCTCAAGCAAAACAGCTTGGGTTCACGGGTTATTCAAACCTGGGGAGAGCCGGGTTAATCGCATTGTTATCACATGCCCCCGTAGCAAAACCTCCCACTGTAAAACAATTAAAAACCCAGGTACGCGATTTGGGGTTAGGTGGGTATTCCCGTATGACGAAACCACAGCTTGTAGAACTGTTACGGCAGAATAGAGCTATTGACCTACAGTTCATACCCACTGAGCGCGCTGTAGGTAATTATTTAAGAGGCTGGCGCATGCATGTTGATAGGAACATAGACATTACAGATATTAAGCCACTGATAGCTGATAAAATAAATCAGGAACTAACCAGTCTGGGAAGCATCAAGTTTCAGATCACAGTTAAAATGTCACTCGATAAGCAAGTTGGGGGAAGGGTCACTGAGTACGTTCAGCCTTACTTCAGAGGTAGGCAAGAGGTTGTCACGCATACAGAGACCATAGACGCATCGATCGATACCAGTTTTCAGCAGATACGGGAATACCTAGAACGCTACACACACTTGGGGTCCGGGTGGGCTGTAGATAAAATCGATAATGTCTATCTAGACATAGCTAACTACGTGCCGTTCAGAGGCGGGTCATACCTAGACTTGCCCCCCTACTATAGGAAAAAACAGTCCATGGTAAACGTCAAGAATAGAGGAGACGATTGCCTGAGGGTAGCTATCAGGTCAGCCTTGTTTCCAGCTGACACTCATTCAGACAGGCTTTCTAGCTATCCCCAAGATGATGGGCTCAACTGGGATGGTATAGATGAACCAACCCCCATATCCCAGATCACTAAAGTAGAAAAACAGAATAATCTAGCTATAAATGTCTTTGGGCACGAAGGTAACACAACAATAGTACACAGGGTCAGCCCATCGTTGGGGAAACCCCACCAAGTTATCAATATATTCATGATCCAACGAGGTGAAAAGTATCACTACACGTGGATAAAACATCTCAGCCGGTTGTTGCACGACCAGTCGAAACACGTTGGGAAAAAACACTTTTGTGTGCGATGCCTACACGGTTTCAGTCGAGCTGATTTATTAGAATCCCACCGGGAGGATTGCCAAGGTGTGGGGCAGACGGCCATACGGGTCGACATGCCCAAGGAAGGTGACAATATCCTAAAATTCGACAACCACAAGAACCAAATGTCTGTGCCTTATATCATATACGCCGACTTTGAAGCCTTGGTCAAACCTATTAAGGTTGTTGGGGTACCCCAACCACACTCAAAACACAGGAGCATGAAGCCTGTGGGTTTGGATACGTGGTCGTCCGTTGTGACGGGGAAACGAAAGCTCCGGTAGTGTACAGGGGTCCCGACGCGGCTGAAAGGTTTCTAAAGTGTTTGCAGGAGGAAGAAAAAATTATTAGGAATGCACTGTATAGAGTCGCTCCCATGCGTATGACCCAAGCCGACAGGCTAGCCCACGCCTGTAGCACTAATTGTCACGTGTGCGACTCACCACTGAATGGTGATTCCGTGAGAGATCACTGTCACGTAACCGGTAAGTATAGAGGCGCCGCTCACAGCGCGTGTAACCTCAAGCTTAGAATCAACCCTAAGATAATAAACATCCCCCGTTGTCTTTCACAACTTGAGAGGGTACGACTCTCATTTGATCATGCAGGCCATCGCGAAAATCGATGGTAATATAACGTGCATCCCCAACAACATGGAGAGATACATCTCCTTCAGCTTAAACGGCCTTAGGTTTATAGATTCAGTACAATTTCTATTGTCTTCATTAGACAGTCTGGTTAAGGCCAACGATACCTTCCCTATCACCGACCGATACACAGACGCCGAGACTAGACCCCTGCTTATGAGGAAGGGTGTGTACCCCTATGAGTACATGGATAGTTGGCCCAAGTTCGCCGAGACCAGACTACCTCCCATCAGAGAATTTTACAGCAATCTGACCGACTCGGAAATATCCCAAGACGATTACTCGCACGCGATTAACGTATGGAATAAACTGGGTTGTAAGAACCTGGGGGGATTATCACGACCTGTACTTGAGGACAGATGTACTGCTGTTAGCCGACGTGTTTGAGACGTTTAGGCGGACATGTTTCAAGCAGTATAAACTCGACCCCGCATGGTATTACACCAGCCCAGGTCTGTCGTGGGATGCCTTGCTTAAAAAGACCGGAGTTAAGTTGGAATTGCTTACAGATTATGACATGCACCTATTCATTGAGAAAGGCTTGCGAGGTGGGATCTCCATGGCAACCAAACGATACGCGAAAGCAAATAATCAATACGTGAAGGGTTACGACCCTAGCAAGCCAACCAATCACATTCTCTACCTCGACGCCAACAACCTGTATGGCTGGGCTATGAGCCAGTATCTACCCACAGGGGGGATTCGAATGGGCGTCACATGAGGTCGATGTTATGAGCATCGCACCGGATTCGAACAAAGGTTATATCCTCGAGGTTGACTTAGAATACCCCAAGACATTACACACATCACACAACAGCTACCCCCTGGCCCCCGAACGTATGAGGGTTAACCCAGACTGGATGTCTGAGTACCAACATAACTTGTTAGGTGGGCGGGTAACAGACGTTGAAAAACTCGTGCCTAACTTAATGAATAAGACCAAGTACATCGTTCACTATCGCAACCTACAGCTGTACCTGTCGTTGGGTATGAGGCTGACCAAAATACACAGGGTGCTCGTGTTCGACCAGAGCCCATGGATGGAGCCCTACATCAGAATGAACACAGACCTCCGAAAGCTTGCCACCAGTGACTTTGAGAAAAATCTCTACAAGCTCATGAACAACTCGGTGTTCGGTAAGACTATGGAGAACCTGAGGAAACGCGTGACTGTGAAGCTGGTTCGGTCGAATGAGGAAGACAAGCTCAGGAGACTGATAGCCAGTCCGGCATTCAACCGTAGCAAGATATTCACCGATGACCTAGTTGCCCTACACATGAAGAAAAGCCACATAAAATTCAACCGGCCTGTTTACGTGGGGATGAGCATCCTCGATTTATCCAAACACCTGATGTACGACTTTTACTACAACGAGCTTAAGAAACAGTACGATGACAGGTGTGAAGTGCTGTACACTGACACGGATTCCCTGCTGATGGAGATTCGAACCGAGGACGTGTACGAGGACATGAAAAAACACCTCGATTTGTACGACACCAGCGACTACCCCAAGGACCATACCATACACAGCACGGTGAATAAAAGGTCCTAGGTAAGATGAAGGACGAGTGTGCTGGCACGCCCATAGCCGAGTACATAGGGTTGAGGCCTAAGATGTACTCCATACTGAAAGCCGACAATAGTGAGATCCGGAAGGCTAAGGGTGTTAAGAAGTACGTGGTTAAACAACACATCAAACACGCCAGATTCAAGGAAGCCCTGTTCAAGACCCGTACCTTTAGACATAAAATGAACACACTTAGAAGTGATGGCCATAGGATATACGGACTGACTATAAACAAGACGTCCCTGTCGCCTATGGATACTAAACGTTGGATAGCTATTGATGGGATAAACACGCACGCCGCATCGGGCATGAGAAAATTGAACCAAGACATGTCACGGAGCCAGAAAAAGTTTGAGGCTATTTACTATAGCCCGCGTGGGTACTGGAAAGGAGCTAGCGCTGTAGATAAGCTGGCTAAAATGGCGCGAGTACCGCCGGAGGAAGCCAAAGCGTGGCTTGAAAAACAAGCCCTGTGGCAGATCTATTTGCCACCACCACGCATCGTGCCTAGAAGGAAGTTCGGTATTAACATACCTAATAGCGTTCACCAGGCAGACCTACTGTTCCTACCCCACGATAAAAGGTACAAGTATGCCTTAATAGTCGTGGATGTAGCCAGTCGCTACAAGGAAGCCGAACCCTTGACCACGAAAGATTCGGTCCAGGTAGCCAGAGGATTCGAACGTATATACAAACGCAGTCCGCTGACGTGGCCAACAGAGCTGCAAGTTGACCCAGGGCGGGAGTTCATGGGTGCCGTGTCACAACTGCTAGCCAAACACGATACAAAGGTCAGGCGTGGCACGGCCGGAGCCCATCGCAGCCAAGCCATAGTTGAGAGATTTAATAGGACTTTGGCTGAGCGCTTATTCGGACATCAGTATGCGAGAGAGATGGTCACCCCGGGAAAACGATCAACTGAATGGGTCACGAGGTTACCTAAGGTGGTGTCGGCAATAAACCATGAGGTCACCCGTCTCACCGGCAAGAAACCGGCAGACGCTATCAAACTAAAATCAATAGTTGCACAGTCGGCCGCTCCTTTGCGTGGGAAGGAGAAACAGATACCAGACAGGGTCCTAGTGAGGTATCTATACCAGCCGGGGGAACACGAGGGTGATAGCCGTAGTTTGAGCCACCGATCCTATATGGTCAGTCAAAACTTACAACATAGATAAAGTGGACATTAAAGCAGACGAGCCTAACTTGTACTACTTGAGGGATGGGCCGGGCAGAGGTTTTGTAAGAGAAGAATTATTGATCGTACCGTACGGCACAGTGTTACCGCATAGTGTCACGTGATCAGGAAAGTGCTAGTTCATGATAGACCCGTTAAACCGAGATGATTCAGCTATGTCCCCGGTAGCTCAATCGGTTGAGTGGTGCGGCCCATTATGTATAGTTTGCGCGAGCTATACATGTGGGTTCGTATCCCACCGTTGCCTCAGGAGATTCCTTGCAACTTTGTGTGATGTGAGGTGTTTCGGTAAGGAATCAAGATCATATCAGTTGGGTCGCTTAAAGCACTTAGCTGAGAGGGGCACTCTCATGGTGAGAGAAAGGCAGCCGGCACAATTCCCAAGGGGAGGAAGCGCAACATCATCTTTCGATTTCACCCTTGGGGAATTGTGGCTGCCGGGACATTTTACTACTTTTTAGAACCTTTCTATCTTTCTATGTCATAGCGGCACGTTATACGCAATCCCACACACTTCAGCCGCGGGAGTTCGTATCCCGCTAGCGTCCCAAACTTTTTTATAGTAGGGGTAATGGTAGCAAGAGCTAAGGGTCCGACCAAAGCCTTATTTGGGGAATAAGGCTTTGCAGAGGCTTTTGTTGGACCTGGTCCCGTACAATCATTCCCTCTACTACTCTTGGGCATGTTTAATAGCCAGTAAAAAATATTCAGAATTAATGGCTTATAATTTGGCCAGTGTGTCATGGTCAGTTTTAACAGCTGCTGTCTTTTCCAAGCAAAGAAGACCAGGCAGCCATCCACAAATCTTTCGAAGCATTACGTCATTCGTAAGCCAATGGTGTAGTACAGAATTACGATAGGTTGTCATGCTACGAAAACTTTGGGGAGCGGGACCCAGATCTGACACTCAGTCTGTGATCCCCCCCCCCCCCCCCCCCCCCCCGCGTTGGTGCAGATGACACAAACTGACACAAATGACACAACTTGTCCTTGTGTGTTTTTGTGTTGTCTCTGCTTCGTCACATCTTGCGATGAGTGTCGTTACTTCCGTTTGAGTTAAACTTGGACTGTAACTACTGTTAACGATCGGATGCTGTGATTTCGGTACCATCTCAAATATTACTAACGGATACTTGGTGGAACTATATTCAGAATAGTTACAGTGTATAGTCTCGCAATTACAATTATAAGTGAAAAAAACCCTCTTCAGCACACATTTGCCTTTGGTCTCGGCACGCTCGTTACAATAAATTGTTTTTAATATGTGATAAGTAGAAAGAGATTCATTGTCTCGGTCCCCATGCAGGGCCATGAATACACAATACCGTATTAGAAGGTGATAAAATTTTACAGGTTATATTTGGGATTACACTTTCTCAGTAAAGTACAGAGTCCGAGAACTGAACCAACATTCAGAGAGGGGGGCACCAAATCGCCAGCACTCAAAGTCGGCCGTCTAACCCACTCAGCCACAAAAATTGGTCTAAGTGATAAGATTAACATTATTTTATTTGGGAGTAACACCTTCCCTGTAAAGAAAAGATTCCAGAACCATCCGGGATTCGAAATCACACATCAGGGACCCGTTACGTATTTGATACATGCTTGTAAATGTGACTTGACAGGAGGAAAAGTAGACAGTGTTCTTGGAAACACAGCACTGGCTAAGCAATCACAACTGAATTAAATATTTAGCAGACAGTTTTAAGTGTTCCGCCACTACACAGTCAATGCCTTGTTGATCTCTAAGTAATGATTAGTTTACGTTGAGAACGTTTCGATAATGAACTGTCAATACAGGTGTAACCATCCATCCAAACAAACTTGACGTATTTGATTCAGTCATGGGTCGCAATTCGAAGTTGGTTAATAGGAAAACTTATCGACAGTTGGATTTTTCCCAGACCCTTTTATTTTCTGTATAACTGGGTTTCAGTGTATGATCTTTAGATCTGTAAGTATTCATATCGGTTTTCAAGACACCCGTTTGCTGATTGATCTTGCAATAAAGAAGATTTTACAAAACATACACAGTTAGAATGACCACTGGAGCATGATCTGAACCTAACGACATCAACGATTTGCCCAGGTACTGCAGCTTACCTTCCTTAGATGACATTCTGAATGTTCTTAACTCTTTTCCTCTTACACAATAATCCGAAACCTGTTACCTCATATTCATTTTCACGGCCTTTTGACGTACAACTGGGTTGTCAATTTCTACCAAGATTTAAAGACTGTTGCTCAAAGTTGTTTGATCTTGGTTATAACATTCAAAGTCCCCAAGGCGTCAGAAGGTCTTGGTCTTCGAGTCTTGAAATCTACCGACTGGCCCTGAAAGGATTTCGTAGAATCTACGTGCACATTGTGTGTACATTTTGTCCATTTCATTTGCCGTTGTCGAGAGGTATGTACTTATTTCATGTGACCTGATGTCACCTTTACTGGTTGCTACGGAAACAGCTATCATGTGACACAACTACTCATGTGGGATGAATTTTATTTCGACACACGACAGTTGAACGGAATAATTCGAAAAGGACACAAAAGTACTGGCGTTGTCCGGAAATTTCCTTTCCGGAACCAACAAGGTTAGGTAATCCAGGATAGCACGGGGTGATCTCGAATGTCTGCTGTGCAATATATCTCAACAACAGGGTCGTATTCTCATCTCCGTTCTTTTCAAAGAATACAGATAGCCGTGCCAGTGGTACCAGACGATGCCCTCAGCATCATTTGTATTGTTGTATTCTCCATTCAGGTTTGCCTTGTGACATGAGTCGTACCACCAGGCTCCCTTGAACTTTAGTGCGCAGTTACCTGTGTTCTTGTCAAGGTCACGATCTCTGGCGGAGAATGCGCGGCCGTTACTCGTCTCCATGGAGTCGCCTGTTTGGTGAATAAAAGGTGCAACAGTTGACTACAGCGGTATCAGACATGCAGTTCGAGCAAATCATCGATGACATCCTTTCTAAAACACATTCCTTCTACAAAGCTTGACCTGTGAAGATCCGGATAAGAATTTGTCTTCAGTAACCCATGCTTGTCGTAAGAGGCGACTGACGGAGTCTAGTGGTAAGGGCCGCTGACTTGGTTGACACATGTCATCGTATCCCAATTGCGTAGGTCGATGCCCATTAGGTTGATCACTGGATTGTCTGGTCTAGACTCTGATTGATGATTGCGGTGTTAAACAACAACCAACAGCGCTTATTATCAAGCATACGGTATTATTTTTCGTAGTTTATAGATTACAGTTTGTTTGTTGTTTAACGCCGCAATCAGCAATATTCCAGCTGCATGTAAATAATCGAGCCTGGACCAGGCAATCCAGTGATCAATAGCTACGCATTGAAATACGCAATTGGGATACTATAAGTTGTTCACTGGTCACGAGGGAGACACGGGTTGATTTACTTTCTATCTTTGTTTATGTTCTCTGAGCCAGAGGGGAACATAAACAAACACAGAGGGTACATCAACTCATGGGCCCCGAAGGTATTTATCGTACCGAATACCTCAATGTTATTTTTGAACTGTTTGAAGCGCGGGTATCGGATAACAATGAGGATGGGTGTACCAGAGTTAGGCAAATAGCCAATACCCACAACGACACAAGAAAAACAAATTTAGAGTTATCTCCTTTCCACAGATATGCATTCTCAAAATATCGGTAATTTCCGTACATCATACGTGACTCAGTCATTCGAGACAAAGACTTACTAACACGAAGTACCAATTGAATTTCCACAGTTCGGCATTCCCTGCGGGTAACAACGAAATTGGTACACGCTTGTAAGCGGGGTACATCGAAAATAATAGGTGAGCGGTCAGGCAATCAGAAAACGACTTCTATGTGTGAGGAAAGATAATTTAGATTCATGACGACACAATGTCGTCTTTTCAAGTGTTTATTCTCTCTGACTGAGCCCAAACATGACTGATGGCTGAAGGCGCCACATTTTACTGAATGCTGACTTGTAATATCCCCCTCTTGCAAGGAACATGCCAGCGATCGGATAAACAGATACAATCACTTCGCTAGTATTATCCCACTATCACTTCAAGTTAGTTAGGGGTGGTGAGGTAGTTTAGTGGTTAAAGTATTCGTTCGTCACGCCGAAAGTCCGGGTTCGATTCCCCACTTGGGTACAAGGTGTGAAGCCGATTTCTGTATCCTCCGCCGTGATATTGCTAGAATATTGCTAAAAGCGGCGTAAAACCAAAAAAACATCACTCAATCGACCGACATAATCTTGAGTTAAGACGTTCACGCAGTCGCTGGGATGGCCTTGTGGTTAAAACGTTCGCTCGTCACGCCGAAGGCCCCTGTTTGATAATATAATGTGTTACGCCTATTTCACCCTTAAAACAAAATGGAAATGAAAAGAGAAAAATTGTTGTCCAATTTTAGAATAGACATTTTCATCTTTGCGGCGAGACACTTACCTGCGTTGCCGGAGAAGCCAGAGATTTTCAGTTTATAGTTCTCAGCCAGACTACCTATGGAGAAGCTTTGGTAGTGAGCCATTCTCGTATCATCTTGAAAGTCCCAGAGCTTTATTTTTAACTCGAACTGTCGTCCCTTGACAACACGCCACACCTTTTCATTGCCTGGAATTGTATCGAACATACAATCAAACGTCATTGTGTCGAAGTTGAAGGGACCCACGAAAATACTTCGAGTTATACAAGGTTCGACACAAAAGGAATCTCTGAATTAGTAAAGAATGCCAATTGAACAAGCTTTAGGTTCATATTTGGCTCATTTTAGGACACAAATCTGCAAAAGACTAAGAACCATTGGTATATAATATTGATGCTAAATTATGCAATCCTCAGTTGTGAGAGACGTGGTATGTGTAATCAAATGCCAATTTTGGAGAGACACGATGTGATTCTCTCAGTAACTCTATTGGAAAGTATTGTTGGAAAAAATATTTTATCGTCTAGTCATCCGCGCATGATAGATTCACTTCACCTACTTAATGTTTTGAAAGTAAATGTTTTGATTCCTATTCCTGACGAGAACAGAAGGGTACGTCAATTCGCACACATACCAACTTAAACGAAAGTCCGGACACACACAACCTTTCCCTGCAAGCCCTACACACCTCATAGTTATCAGTTTGCCTGTCCCCTCGATAACCGTTTTGTCTGTTCTCGATCGCCACACTTCATAATGGCGTCCTGGAGCTAATCTGAACCTGACAATCCATCCAGCGATATTGTGAGCAACTGACCATGCCATTGGACCAATCAACACGGAATCAACCAATCAACGTTTAGTATCAGCATGTGAACCTAGTCTAACCCGGAAGCCCGACGGGGAGCACACTGAGGCTGCCAAGGACAACTCACCAAGCCAGAACTCTCCATTCAGGTCGCCAAACCCTTCCTTGTATTCGTTCCAGGTTCTGAAGAAGTTTTCGGAGCCGTCCTGACGTCTTTGGATCAACTGTTGCAAAAATGATAAGTTTATTATGTCGATGTGATGTCGTTGGATCATTATACCATTGTGATGTCGTTGAATCACCTGTTGCAATAAATGACAATTTCATTATCTCCCCATGAAGTCTTTGGATCACTTGTTGCAATAAATGAAATTTCATTATGTTGTCATGACGTCGTTGAATCACCTGTTGCAATACATGACGCTTTCATTATATCCTCCTGAAGTCTTTGGATCGCCTGTTGCAAAAAATTATAAGTTCATTATGCAGTCGTGAGGTCGTTGGATCATCTTTTGCAATGAATGACAAATTCATTATGTCGTCGTTACACCCTTGGATCACCTGTTGGAATAAATGCCACATGCACTCTCCGTGCTTGTGACCAATACAGTTATCAAGCTGATGTGTCGTTTCTTTCTTTATTCATTCAACTGGCAAATAATATAAGAAATGAACATAATACCGTTCACCCTCAAATATTGCTTTTTATTCGTTTATTCTCAATGTCTAGAGAATTATACAGAGATTTATTAAAATTTTATACGTTGTCCATTTTGCCTTGAAATGTATTTCATCGATGTATCGATTGTCGAGGAAAATGGTTTTTCGCCGTTTAAGCAATATTTCAAGACAGTTAACCAAGGTTGGACACATCCGCAAATTGTTACAAAATAAATATCCAGGGACCAAGCTTATATTTCGAGACAACCGGTTGTCTAGGCAACTGAACAATAATAGGATAAACCCGATCACGGTGTCCGACAACGTTAACCGCCACCACATATGCCTCCGCAACTTCGACAGGTATTGCAGGATGAAAAAGCACGAATACCACGTGATCGTATTCAGCTGATAATTCGGTCAGTGGGTAGGCGTTGAAGAATTTCCATACAGGTTAATGGTAACCTCTCACAGCATGGAGCTCTCACAGCAATAAAGAAGTTGTTCATCCATATATTGTTATCCTTCCTTACTGCTCCAACTTCTAAATGCCTCTCAAAGAAGTTAGGTAAGTGGTAGTCAAAACAAGTACTGACGGTCACGCTGCCATATCGTCTTTTGTGAAAGACCCGTGAAGGTACGGGTTAGAATGAACCTTCAGTAACCCATGCTTGTCGTAAGAGGCGACTAACGGGATCGGGTGGTCAGGCTTGCTGGCTTGGTTGACACATGTCATTGGTTCCCAATTGCGCAGATCGATACTCATGCTGTTGATCACTGGATTGTCTGGTCCAGACTCGATTATTTACAGACCGCCGTCATACAGCTGGAACATTGCAGAGTGCGGTGTAAAACTAAACTCACTCACTCAGTCACTTTTGTGAACGTTTAGGGTGACGCTTTTTGTAACTCAGATTTGTGCATGACAGACACAGTAACTTGTCCTCGTGAGCGTCTGATATTCATATGTACTAGTTTCGGGTAAGACATGCCATGACATGAAATAAAGACAATATTTGTAAATATGTTCAACTGTGCGTTTCTTTATATAGTGAGTATATGAAATGGTCATACCCTTAATGATAATAAACAATGGTTTAGCCATTACTAACTCTTGTGTTACTTATATTCGTTTTAAAACATATGCTAATCCTGTGGTGGCCGACAGGAGATATAACTTTACAGCGAGAAAGCTTTTTCGCTTTCTCGCGGCCGTAATTGCCGTCAATAAACCTGTGTCCCTTCTAAACCACCATACCATAATTAGGTTAGGTTTGGGGCGCAATGTTAGCTGCGCATGATCTTTTATGGCTTTCTATCAGGTGAGCTTAAAACCTAACTGTTAACCTTTCAAAAAGGAATACACATTTTTACACGGCCAATGTTAAGTGCTTACCGTCCATGTACCTATGCTGGAAACACAGTAGGCTTGGAACTGGTCTTGTCCATCAGGCTTGAGGATGTAGATGCCAGACTTCAGAGAAGGAAAGCGAGTCATGATATCTGTACAGTCAGTGTAGGCTGTGGAACAATATAGAGTATACGTCAAGAATATGATATCTGTACAGTCAGTGTAAACTGTGGAACAATATAGAGTATACGTCAAGAATATGATATCTGTACAGTCAGTGTAAGCTGTGGAACAATATAGAGTATACGTCAAGAGTATGTGTCAAACCGATGTAAGAGTTCTTGTATTCGTGAAAGCGAGCGTAATAAATGACTTTATCTTTTTTCTTGCAAAGTGTGTTTATTATGGAAACATAACTCTCGATAAAAGTGTTAATCATGAATTTAATGCAAACTAATTAGTGACCTGCAATATTTTTGGCATTGAAAGTACTAAGTACATACTTTTTGTGCAAAAAAGTTGAAGAACAAGCATTGTCACTAAGGTGACATAATCCCCGCCGCAAATTATCAAACCAAACTTAAAAAGTAATGAAAGCGACGATCGTAGTTTAAGATGAAGTTAAATGTCAACAAAAACATGACCAGTCAACGTCTCTTGATATCTTGCCCTGTAGTTGTTCAAACACGCAAATATTTTCAAGACTCACTTTGACCGTGACATGAATGTCATGGTGTATGAAATACGAAAAAATAGTAATAAAGAAATTGCTTATTAAAAAAACATTCAAGAGAAGTCTTGAAAGTCTATGAAGAAGATCCAGTGAACGGTTCTTGAGCTATCTTGCTGATAAGAGTAAAAGGTAAAAGTCCCCTGTGACCTTGAAGTTAAGGTCAAAGTCACCAAACCAGACTGGGACCTTTCTCATACTGTGATGAACCTAGGACCAAATATAAAAAGAATCTAGTCAACATTCTATTTTTTACGCCAACATAATTGACTGTAATCCCCAAACCTACAGTGTCCAATACATTTCCCCAAGAACACATTCGGCTTAACATTGTACAAAAGCAACTCACTAGCATTGTTAGCGTAAAGACCATCCAGCGAGTACTTGAAGCCAGGTTTGGGAACCAGGTTCTCGTGGCTGTTGAAGATCCTTGAGTGTCCTTGACAGGCACCAGTCAAAGCGTTGTGGAAGAAAGAAACACACATGGATTCTCTGTAACACTTCTGTGCACATTTCGATGCATCCACTTTGACATTCCAGAGAGGCTCGGCTACAGCAACCATGTCCTGAAGTTCCTCGATGCGGACATATGAATGTTGGTTGCACATAGGGGAAAACATGTCTCGTAAAGATGAGAAACACCAAAATATTTGGGAAGAAAAGCGCGTTGCCCCGAAACACGTCCATCCTTGTCTACTTTCAAACTCACCACTGGCTTTTTCAAATAGCAGTCATGAGAACGTGTCTTCAATCGACTTGTCCACGTTTCATTAAGACTTCAGAAGAACCCAATTATTTCCTTTTGAATGCAGCGAACATGAAGCATGTATTGTCAAATAGCTTTCAATGCGTAAACACATATTTTATTCATTCATTCCCTTCTTCGGTTCAAGCTAATTGCATACTTAGTGTATGTCGTTACATGAACCCTATTATGTCTGATAAATATAATTATATCTCATCCTATCAATATTTCTGCCCGATTGCACCATGCTTCTTATTTATAAACTGTGAAAACCCGTTCAGCTAACACTGTCGATATCAGTCGACATGATTAGAGGTTATTGGATATTCCGATAAGAGTCATATATATATATTTCAACAAATGGCAAGTTCATGTTCAAACATCTGATTTTCGGAACATCTTCATTTCCCTTTACCCCTAATGGCGAGATGAAATTCGTGAAAGCTTAAATATCAGTTTGCATGTTATGAGTAGGGTTTTTTCTGAATCCGAACAATAAAAATCGAAAACGTCCACAAGATATCAGGCATAACTTTCCTCATTTCGCCTTGTGGCGAGTCACTTTCAAGACATTGTAAAGTGATGTTGGTATCAGCTTGCATATTGACAAATAAGGACTTCTCTCGCCGAAATAGTCACCTATGTAATGTTGGAGGAAAGTCCGGTAGTCCTTGTGACTTTCATGAAACCAACGAGCAGCGGTATGGAGCTGACAGACCTTGAAGCCAAAATCTGGGGAACCAGGATTCGAACTGAGGACTGATGGCGTTCCACATACCTCAACAAGTGTCATCACTTTCGTTTGATTTGAAATCTCAATTTTCTTTTACTGTATCTACTGTTAAAGATCGGATGGTGTGATGCACCTTTTCAAACACTGCTAACAGATACTTAGTGAAGCTATTATAAGAATAGTTATAGTGTAGTCACGTAACTACCCTTTAAGTGGAAAAGAACTCTTAAGCAGGCATTTTCGATAATATGTGATAGGTAGAAAGACACATTGTCTTGGTTACCAGAGCCATGAATACGCAATGCCATTTAGAAAGTGGTCAAATATAATAAGTTGTATTTGGAATTACACTTTCTCATTGAAGTATAGAGTCTAGTACTTTAGAGTCCAATCCGAGATTCGAATCCACACTCTCAGAATGGGGTTCGAATCGCCAGCACTCAAAGTCAGCCGTCTAGCCCACTCAGCCACACAAATTGAAAACTATTGGCTTTCTGTACCACACTGACGAACAGATGTAACATTATGTCATATGGGATTTCACTTTCCCCGTGAAGAACAGACTCTAGAGCCATTCGGGATTCGAACTCACACATCAATGACCCGTTATGTATGGATACATGCTTGCAAATGTGACTTGACAAGAGGAAAAGTAGACAGTGTTTTTGGAAACACAGCACTGGCTAAGCAATCACAACTGAATTAAATATTTAGCAGACAGTTTTAAGTGTTTCGCTACCACAAAGGCAATGCCATGTTGATCTCTAAGTTACGATCAGTATACTTTGAGAACATTTCGATAATGAACTGTTGTTATCTGAGTCTCACGTCAATACAGGTGCGTGTAACAATCAATGAAAAAAACCCTGATGTATTTAAATTCAGTAATGATCGCAATTCGTGGTTGGTTAATTCGAAAACTTATCGGCAACTTTTGTCCAGACCCTTTCATTTTCTCTATAATAGGGTTGTTGTATGATCTTGGAATATTTATGCATTGTTATCTTTTTTCAAGACACCCGTTTGCTGATTGATCTTGATTTTACAAAGCATACACAGTTAGAATGACCACTGAAGCATGATCTGAACCTAACGACATCAACGATTTACCCAGGTACTGCAGCTTACCTTCTTTTGATGACATACTCAATGCTCTTTCTTTCCTCTGGCACAATAATACCATACTTATTACGTCATATTCATTTTCACAACCTTTTGACGAACGACCGGGTTGTCCATTTCTACCAAGATTTGCAGACTGTTGCTCAAAGTTGTTTGATCTTTGTTGCATCATTTAAAGTCCCCAAGACGTCTGATACTACAAATGCGGAGAACATTTCAAAGTGTTTCATATAAACACATTCCGGTCTACTGATGTTTTTACCTGTTTCTTCTTGTATTCATAACGGTTCAGAGTGACAAACTATCCACAGTATGTTTTCACCCTCCACATACGCACGCACGCACGCACGCACGCGCGCGCGCACACACACACACACACATACACACATATATATTACATGTCCCTAATACGCTGTCCAGTCTTTAAAGAAATCATGACGTAGTTCAGTCAGCATTTATTAGGAGTAATGGAATATGAAGCACACGCTCGCTCGCACACCCATGATGCCATGGTGTAATCTTGAAATATCTTTATTGTGCACGTTAACTCTTTTATTTGTATGATGTTCACGTGAAAACACTCTCCTTATTAATCATGCGAAATATTATTGGTACAGCAGGTCTTTTGTTATTCCCTCTAATTGTACCACACTTTGATGAAGTGAATCGAACCCCGTCTTCGGCGTGACACCCGAACGCTTCAACCACTAGGCTACTGAACCGCCCAAGATCATATGAAACCGCTCCAATTACATTCGTATCATGTCACAACCGACAGTGAATGCAAACGATACGTATTATATACTCAAAGGCACACGTTATTGTGATTGACTTGAAGTTAGATATGCAAATTAACAACTGATATTTTTATGATGAGACTTTTTTAATATTACGAGAAAAATTTTCCACAATAGCACAAATGCCACATTTTAAACTTTTCTGGCGGAGACATGCTGATAAGGTCACAGTGAGTGTACGGTCAAATTAAATTCACACAGTCAATAACGTGTTTGTCCACCATGCGCATTGATGCAGGGTTGACACCTGCGCATCATAGAGCCAATTAAAAGTCTTATGAAGTGACATTCCATATCTGTGAAAGCACCTGGCGGAGTTCCTGACGCGTGTCTGGGGGATTTCGTCTCAATCGCCTCTTTATTTCCTCCCAGACGTGTTCAATAGGGGACAGATCGGCCATCAGCGCGGTGCAAGAGGAATCTGGAATGAACATGTCTCCATCACGTGCTCTCCACCGCAGAGGTTGTCTGCACCACTGCAGACGTTGGCGACGTAATGTCAAAGTTGTCGTCTGGCAGGACGTCTAGCTCGTATCCCCTGTTCAGCCAGACACCGGCGAATGGTCCTTGGCGATAACCTGTTGACACCAGGAACTCTTCGTGCTGTCAGTGTGGCCGGTTGGAATCTTTGGTTCAGATGGGTGGTTTGAATCCAACGATGTTTGCGTGGCGTGGTTACAGATATACGGCCACATCGGGGACGGCAACGACGGCGTTTTGTTGATAACGTCACCACAAGCGGCATATGGTGTTCCTGTGCACGTTAAACTGCTGTGCAACATTGTGCTGGGGTGTTCGGTTTCAAACATTCCAATGGCTCACAATTAAAGTTGATTAGTTATATAAAAATATATTGTTTGCAACTCTGGGCTACTTATAATTACATTAACTAAAAATGTCGGAAGCGCATGTAGAATCTTCAAAACATGCCTGCAAATCGCCCGAGAAAACACTCAATCGGAAATAGGAGCGTCGTTATGTAAACAAACGCACGTACGAGTATTTGAATCTCTCACCGTCCATGGCATTATCCTTATCAAAACATCACATGAGGCAACACAATTCCGTTAGCTACGTTCTTTGTACGTTCAATAAGACGATATATATTTTTCATGATTTTCTAAACAATGACATATTGCCATAAACGATTGAAGTAGTCTGATTTAGTTTTTATCAAAGCACCGCTATCATTACGCGCGTTCTGATTGGTTTGTCGTATTTTCGCACATAAGAGGCATCGAGACAGGGACGAGTCTTCTTGGAGGTTACGGAAAGGGACGAGTGGTGACGAATGTTCTTGGAGGTTACGGAAAGGGATGCGTGGTGAATGGAGTCACGTATGATAAACGGAAATTACCTATGTTTTGCGAATGCAAATCGATTGAAGGGTGATAAATCTAAATCCGTTTTTCTTGTCTGCTAGATTCTATGAAATCTGAAAATCTAGTTTTGGCTTATTGCCTGGTACTCCTTATTATGACCCGATACCACTGCTTCAAACAGTTGCTCGGTGAGATAAATACGTTGTTCACTGGTCACGATGGGGGCATGGGTTGATGTACCCTCTATGTTTGTTAATCTTGGGGCTCAGGGAACATAAACAAGCATAGAAGGTACATCAACAGATGCCCCCCTTGTGGCCAGTGAACAACTTATAAAATTGTCAAGGGGGCGTTGTGGCCGAGCTGGTTATCCAGCGGGCATGAGGTTCAGGGATCGAGCCCACCTGTTACCGGGTGTAAAAACCCTGGAGTCAACTTTGTGTGCAGACTCTGTCAGTGTTGTCACAACCCCTAGTGTACAGTACACAACCCTGTGCACTTAAAAGCACCCACGAATCCGTTGGTAAATGACCCAATTGTGGCCACATGAATACGCGCGAACGCCCAGTTGCGGGTACAGCAACGAGCAGTAAAGTTGGACTATGTGTGCCAGTCCACCCAGCTGTGAATGGGTACCTCGTAGGGATGGGAAAGCCACACTAACTTGGTGCGCCTCGTGCCCAGTGTCAGTGTTGTCACAACCCCTAGTATACAGTACACAACCCTGTGCACTTAAAAGCACCCACGAATCCGTTGGTATCCACCAGATGGTGGCCACATAAATACGTGCAAGCACCAAGTTGCGGGTACAGCAACGAGCAGTAAACTTGGACAAAGTACTGTTATTATGTGTCCCAGTCCACCCAGCTGTGAATGGGTACCTCATATGGATGCGAAAGCCGCAATAACTCGGTGCGCCTTGTGGCAGCAAGAGTTGTATGATCCCCAGGGGTTGAGGTTAATGTGCCGTTGAGATTGACATCCAATGACCGAGGGAAAATTGCCAGCGCCTTGAGCATGCACTAGTGCGTGGGTAGCCTCATGGTTAAGCGTTGGCTCGCCACGCCGAAGACCCGTGTTCGAATCCCCACATGGGCACAATAATGTGTGAAGCCCATTTCTGGTGTCCCCCGCCGTGATGTTGCTGGAATATTGCTGAAAGCGGCGTAAAACCAAACTCAGTCAGTCAGTCAGTCTTAGTACGGGGTTGGGGTGCGTGTGTGTCTCGGTGGTGGTTGTGAGTGTGGGTGGGTGTGAGGATAGAAGGGTGAGTGTGTGGGTGTGTGGGCGAGTTTGACGCATGCATGAATGTACTTATGTGTGCAAGAATTGTGATGTTTGTGCAAAATACATTTTTATTTATCTTAAATGTTTTACTGTGATACATACATGTGTCTTATAGGCCAAATGGCCGGATGCTATGTAAACGTTTTAATCGTGTCATTATGTACCGCATATTCGCATGTGACACAATAATAAAATATTATTCTTCTTCTAGCAACCGTAGCCAACGCCACGACAAGTACATGTAGCACTATCCGCCCAGTGGTGTAGATGTTACGGGCCGATCTCCCTGTTAGACAATGACGAGCAGGTTTTGTTGGTAGGTGTATTACTACGAATTGGTCCAGTTGGCGTCTTCAACTGATTCCAACATCTGTAATAAAATACATAAAGAACAATTTATAAGCTTAATGCAAAATGATAACCTTTCTAAAAGCATAGCCGCAGTTGTAACTGCGAACCATAGGAGGAGGCAACTCCACTCTGCAATGTAAATATACACACGTAAATCATACACAGTACAACCAGAAATTATTGAGAATTTAAAGATTGTAAATTGTTTTATTTTTTTCACTCATTACTTACGTATTAAATGTGAATATTAGCAGAACATAACTCCAGATTCAAAGACAGGTGAACAGTTAGTATTTTGTCAAGTCACCATGGGCAGCTATGCAGGCTTCAATGCGGCGGGGCATACTACTGATCAAAGAAGTTAGAAAGTCGTGGTCCATGCTGTCCCAATATCGGACCACCTCTTCTTTCATTTCAGCAATATTTGTCAGATTTTTCTTATTGACACTTTCCTTCATAAGTCCCCAAACATTTTCTATTGGATTTAGGTCAGGGCTACAGCTTGGCCAATCTAATAATGTCATATTTTGGGTCCGAAACCAGGCCTGTGAATGCTTTGAACGATGTTTTGGGTCGTTGTCCTGCTGGAAAATCCAAAAATTTCCATAGAACACGTGAGTAGATGGAAGTAAATGTCCCTCGAGAATATCTGTGTACCGCTCACTGTTCATATTCCCTTCAAATACACAGAGGGGCGTTGCCACTAACACAGATATGCCACCCCACACGTTAAATTTCGAACTGTACTTTGGGCACTGATACAAAGGTTTTTCAGTTTGTTTGGTCCAGAATTGCAGTGTATTAGGAAACAGCCACACAGAACTTTCATCTGAGAAAATCACATTGTCCCAGTTAAAATTTCTATGCTGTAAGCACCAGTTCAACCTTCGCTCCTTTTGTTCAGGTTTCATGATCGGTGATGGAATTCCTCGACTTTTCTGCCAACCCATTGCATGCAGCCCAGTTCTAATTGCCTCAGTTCCTCTATCAACCATATCCAGCCTTAAGTTTTCTAAACTCCTTTGTTGTTTTTAGAAATAAGAATACCAAGCCGCCTCCTGTCATCGACAGTCAATTTGCTGGGCCTACCTGCGCCTCCCAGGTGCTGAGTGCCATATCCATTTGCAATATTTTTCAAAACACGACAAACAGTGGACAAAGTGGTGCCTGATCTACTTGAAATCACTTTAGCTGATCTGATGTCCTTGTTATAATACTCTAAAATCAAGTTCATCTTCTCTAAATCATCCATACTGAGGATCACTGTCGTCTGCTAGCAAGTAAACAAAAGGGGATAACTCTTCACAAACTAATGAAACAGGATTAACGGAGTTGTCTCTCTTGAATGAAACCAAGCACTTGATAGCTGGTCAAGGTTGTTTAAACTAGAAATCCAATTAAACATATTCCTAAAATTCTCAATATTTTCTGTGACGCGTTTTAGATATGTATGTCATGTGACACATAGATAAAATCTTACCTCATCTCATCTCATCTTTATTACATACCGCAGGGCAAGAACACCTGTCAGGACGTATGGTCCGGTGACGTAATGAGCTGAAACGGACCGTTTATAATTTATGGCATCGAGTGGTGATGATGATTGTTTTTTTTTCATTGAGCAGCATGTAGGATGTGAATGAACCCCCTTAAAGATCACATATACTCTAGGGGGGTACAAATACATAAATCACTAACTGGCATCGCTATGAATGAAACCCCGTCATTAAAACTACTCACTTCGGTCTTTAATTAACTTAAATCGACCTATTTGACAACAGTGCACAATTCTCACCCGCGAACGAAATTTCAACCAATCAGAGCGGGGCGTCTCTGTGACGTCCTATGAGGAATAGCTATGAGGGCCGATGCAGAATTCATCTACATTTCAGGGGGGTAAATTATCTTGTTTACAGGTTTGTATAAACTTTGAAATCGTGACAACTGTTGTGGAAAATGAAAGCTATATGTTCTCACAATCTACTGTCATTTAATTTTGTCTCCTGCTTTGCCTAGTTTCCGAGTTACAACTTGTTTTCATAGACGATTCTGTCAAAATTGCTTGGTGTCGTTAGGCCTTATTTGTATAATGACTGATCCAAATTGATCCCATTTCTGTGGGTTTTTTTACCTCGATATTTAATCATGTCATGTAAAACTCTGTTTGTATTCTCATAATAGGGTCGGACCATAAGTTTTCACATGCAATACAGCTCCCTTGTTGTAGCCCGTGTTAGGTGGTATAAACCTACACATGTTATTTGTCATCATTCACTTGATGGTCAGTTAATGAATTTATAACAGGTATAATTAGTGGTAACACACTTAGATTACCCGACAAAGGTTCCCATTTGGCATTTCATGTGTCTGGAGTAAATATTCAACATTATAAACATCGATCAAAGGATTAACCGATAACACGCTGATTGATTAATTACTTTTATCTTACAAAAGGTAGTGTTTATGCATGTAGATTTACTAATCTATACTGAATACACTCTGTCGTGTCGGTGTCTGCGTAAAAACAACGCCCTTCTTTCAAAGGATTAACCGCCAATACATTGATTGATTGCTCATTATTGGCTAACTCAATTGTTGTTTTTAAAGAAAGGCGGACATTATGCAATTAGTTGACAGGTGCGTTATCTTGGGTGACCAATGAGACTATACATCAATGTGAAATACCTGAAAAGATTTATCACTTTTTCGTATATTAAACTGTTAAAAGACACATCACTTGGAACAGCTGCAGATGAATGGCATATCACTCGTTTTTGTGGATATTGATGGATACATTCCCATGATTCCTCGAACAAGGTAATAGCCTGACATTGTTCCTATAACTTTAATCTGTTTTAATTTTAATATTTGTATTTTGTTTTTATTCATTTGTCGTAGCATTCAAAAGAATCATTGTTTTCGCCGTGAAGTGTAATGAGACCGACAACATACACTAGGGAGTGTGTGCGAATTATTATTCACATTGGCAAACTATAAAATGTCTAGATATTACAGTTCTGTTATAAATTCACTATAAGTATCAGCAGATCGTCTGCTTTTTATTTAGTTTCAAAATGCATACAAGTATGATAATAAATTAATTAGGATTTTAAGACCAAATATAAAGACGCACATTGACTAGTATCTACATACTGGTGAGTAGACATCAACCATGTGAATGTAGCAAGAAATCTATCGCGCAGTATTGTGACTTCGACCCCAAACTCGCTTCCGTGGAAGAAATCGTTATGTTATAAGTTGTGTCATGCAAAATCCTTTTGGTTATGATTCCAATACATATTTAACTACGAGTAGAAAGTAGTTTTGATTTTCTAACTTGATGAAAACAAGCCATAATCTCATTAATTCTAACAGACTTTAGCCCGTCACTTTACGATTTTCAAAAATGGCGGCGCCTTGTCGCGATCATCCGCCAGTCTGAGGATAAATGCTATTCAAGTTTGTTTTCACCGAGTTACAAAATCAAAACTACTTTCTACTGGTAGTAAAATATGTATTTGAT